CAGGAATGAGACCAGAACAGACTTGTGAATCACAAAGCAAAAGCAGTCTTGAAAGTGTCCAATCAAATACAGGTGCTATATAATCAACCAGAAAAATTAAATTAAAATTCTACACCACAGTGTAAAATTTCTCGAGTATAGCCCTATCCCACAAGTAAAAACTCTCTTTTATGTTCACACAGCAAAACCCAGCAGCAATATTTCCTGTCAACAACCGAAGAACATGGCAAATGTAAGAACTCCTTGACCAACTGGTCATGATGACTTCGTACAAGAAGCCCCAAGCTTTGCCTTCCCCCACCTGCCAAGTGAAGTTAACGACAAACACTGACGGTCCTATCCCAGGAACTCAGGAGAATCTGTGTTCTCCAAAGACCATGCTTGTGGATTTCTCTGAAGCTAACAATCAGATTTCCTTTCCTGGGAATTTCTTGCTTAACTCACCCAAAGCATTTTTTTAAAGAAGCAATACCGGTACTTTCCAGATAACAAGGTGGCCTAAAATATTATCAAGTGTCACAACTATTCAGGTTCATTTTGTAGTTCTTGCGCCTCTGACTGGTGTACCTGTGAGCTGACACTCGGGTCTGATAATATATTCTGCAACTGTACATGTTCATTTGTAAGTGGAACAATCTCTCTGTGCTGGCAGTTAGGAAACCCAGATTGAAACTGCTAATGTGAGCTGACTTCAGCTGTTGATGATTATGTAGTCAAGCCTTGACCAAGGTTTCCTGAACTCTGGCTAAAATCGGAAGTCTTGAGATGGCCCAAAAATGAATTCGCACACTTCCCTGATAGTGAAACTTTTTAAAGAGCAGATGTCAAGATGATTTAAGAGGAGCTGAAATTTAACGTCTTAAGAAAACTTATCAGCAAATTAGGACAGTTCAGTTTTCAAGAAAAACCCGACAGATGCTAAAGAAGAAGTCATTTGGGTGATGGTTATTAGAGAAAGAACTGATTGGTTTTCTTCCTTCTCACCAGTTGTGGGGCCTATAGAGATGCTAAGACCAGAAATATGATGGGCTGTCTGCTGAGGTGGGTGACAAAAACAATCTCCATGTTTACGTGGCATAGAAGACTTTCACTAACGTGCAACTTGGACAATTCAATTCCTCCTTGGCCTGGGCAAAGTTCTGTGTCAACTGTCTTTTCAAGGAGCTTTCTCCCCAACTTGTCATTGGGCCGTTTTATTTTGGGCCCTCTCCCCCAAATCATGAAAGTAAACATTAGCCAAAAAAACCAAGATGACTTCTGATCTAAATCTTTCTATTAATTTAATATTTGAACTACATAAAGGAAGCTTTAAATCTTTCTACATTTACATTATGCTTAATCCCTAAGAACTTTCCTGCCGATTTTCACAGTTAGAAAGGCACTCAAAATCTACCCACTCTGGCTATAACTTGATTTTGTTTTAAAGCAGGTATAGCTGATAGAGTTCATTAAGCCCCTGCTGAAAGACCAACCTGTTCTATTGCCTGTTACTGGAGTGCCACTTTTTTTCACTAGCTACCACTCTCATGCTGTCACCCACATCCTTCCATGAATTTAAATCCAACCACGGGTTATTATTTCTGCCACAGGCCAATGAAATTATCCTTAGGGATGACAATTCCTTAAAGGTCCTTATGGATGGAGGGTCTATATATTAAGTAACATCTATGGTCTCTGTCCTATTCGTTGAGGGGTATTCTTTGTATCCAGTGGAGTTGAACTAGTGGTTTTTGTCCACTTATCCAGGAGCCAAGTCATAATGCAAACAGTCAGCGGCTTTCTGTATGTTGCCAGGTGGCCAGGAGTCCATACCCCAAACCGCCATAAACAGTAGGCACAATCATCCGCCCCTGTTCAGGAGAGGCCCAGGACTGAGCTAGCAGAAAGACTGAATTACTTACCACCTCTAGAGTGGGTCCCACCAGGCCAGGGACGAGCTCATGGGCAAGGCTGTGCAAGGAAGCGCTCTGTACCATGCCTGCCCTGCGGATATACAGAGGACTTCAGTCTCCTGCACTGTCAATCTCTCAGTCATCATGAGCTCAATTATGTACCGACAACAGCAAGAACAACAACAACGACGACAACAAAACAACCCCCAAAACGCTAAGGGCCACAGACTACCCTGGTGGAGGGACAGCCAACTGGAACCGTGTGTTGAGAGACGAGGTGCTGTCCTGAGCATGTGTCCATTACGGGCCTGAGCTTTGCCTCTTTCCTCAAACATTCCACTGAAGCCCACAGGAGAGCCACGTGGAGAGACAGCAGGACTGGGCCCTAAAAGTCAGGCAACCATCAAATTGGATGGGGTTGCTTTTGTTTTTTTTGTTTGTTTGTTTTTTGTTTTTTTTTTGCTTTTTATGTTTGTTTTCTACAAATACAGATAGACAGACAGACAAACCCAAGAGCAGATTTCAAGAATCAACTGAGGCACAAGATAAACTACTTTGATGGTACACAGATTTTTTTTTTCCTCCAAATTGTTCACATGAAATCAAAAATTTTCAAAGCATAAATAGGAAAAATTGGGGGACACGTCTTTGTCGGCCCTGAATTGTGCCGTAAATATCTCCACTGCTTGCCTTAGAAGGATGCCCAAACACATCTCGTAGGTAGCACATATCTGTGGTCTGAAATAGTTATCAAATTCTAATGACACTCTTAATCGAAAGTCTAAATAATATGCTGGTCAAGTACAGTGAAAGTTGACTGCCTGCCATCAATGACGTATTGGTTTCATCCTGAGTATCAAGGCACAGCCAAACATCATTGCTCAGAATGCAGATCACAACACTTTACACTGACGTGAGTTTGTAAACTTATGGTGGAGTTCAAATGAAGGCAGTTGATGAAAGCAGTTGAACCTGAGAGGTGGGAATGAATACAGAGGATAAATCCAGCGCACATTTCCACATCAAACTACCCATTCCATTTACCAGGGCCCCCAAAGGCCACACGAGCGGCAGCGCCTAGATTCCCGGTCAGTATCTCTGCTCCACAGACACAAGTACAAAACGGCCTAAATCGTGAACTAGTGGTGAGGAAAAGGAGACCAAAGTTTAAAAGAAATCAAGGTGATGTTTCCTAGAAACATACCAACTCGTCTAAGAAGGATCCAGAGTAAGGGTGATCAGTAAGTAATTAATTGATCCTCCTGGCTAGATTTTATGGTTTTTCTAAAGATGAGTGGCTTGAATCGCTAGAATTTATCACACTATGTCTAGACTCTCTTTAACACACACTCAGTACAAACAGGTGGAGATGTACCACTTCCGACCACTACAGGTAGAGAAGTATGACCTCTGTTGACCATGGATCACAGCTGAAACATTAGTTTATACTTGAAAGGCCACAGCAGCCAGACATATGCGAATTCCAACTCTTCAGAAAACTTTGGACAAAAAAAAAATGCATTACTTACATGTATGCGTCTTCTTTGTTACTGAGATACCTAGAAGAGAAGAGAGACAATGACAAAGGTAAGAAAGGAGGCTGTGTGTACTTCTTAGAATGTACATCATCCCCAGTGTACTCAGAAACGCATTTTGTTCAGATGGGGATGGAGAGGCAAGATGCATCTTCATCTCACATACAGCATCACTGGATCTACCCCAGTGTAACGAAAATATTAACGATGGGGCCAGCAAGCATTGCCTACTGGCTTAAGGGGTTCTGTGGCAAAAGAGTAGCAGCACTGACAGTAATTAAACAGAGTGAGAGAAGACTTATTTTTTATTTTAAATGGGGGAGACGATAATGTTTATAGGCAGAGTGGGGAAGATTTAAGGCACAAGAGAGTGAAGCCAACTTACTCAGACAAGAGTGAACTGAGCCACAGAGCAATTAATTTGCTCTGGCCATTGATTTTGTGTTTACCTTTTAATGAAAATGACTCTTTGTGCTCACATGAAGCATCGCCTTTAATGGTGAGGGAAAATACATCCACAAACTGTACCTCTCTGTCTATACTTGTTAAAGTCAGGAGGGGAATGACGGCTACTTCTTGGCAAATGGCAGCACAATGAACAAAAACTATATGAAAACATAAGGGGTTCAGGAGTCAGCACCCTTGATACTTCTAAGATGCTTTATAGAGAGCGGGTGAAGAATGGAACTGGGCAAGATTCCGCACATAAGACCCCAAAAAGATAACGTGAACGCACACTTCAATGCAAACAGTGCTATCGCCACTTCAGAAGTACTCCATTTTGAATTCTGTATGCTTCATTCTTCTTGGGGGATATTCTTGAGACCAAATAGGCTCAAAATCATAAAGCTCTTGAAAACGTTTAGCCTGTGACTAAGAAGTGTGGTAAACCTTACATGTCTTTTTTTTCTTTCAAGTTATTAAGAGAACTATTTAACCCTCCTCTGGAAAGTAACACTGTTGAAAAATCTGGCACTCAGATCAGACCTATTACTTAGCTATGGAATGTATCGGACAGGGAAGAAATCCGTTATGAAAATCCATGGTATAGCACAGGGAGAACAGCTCGGTGCTTTGTGACCACCTAGAGGGGTGGGATAGGGAGGGTGGGAGGGAGGGAGACGCAAGAGGGAGGGGATATATGTATATCTGATTCACTGTTATAAAGCAGAAACTAACACACCATCGTAAAGCAATTATACTCCAATAAAGGTGTTAAAAAAGAAAATCCATGGTAGACATAAAAAAAAAAAAAGCTAGTCCCAAAATTGTGCACCATGACCAAAATCACACACTTGTTCCCCCACAAATTTCCACAGGACTTATTTAGGGAAGCTGAAATTACATAGCCCAACTCAAATTCTTTTTCCCCCGCTTTCTATGGAGAAAAACACAACTATTGTTTTTCATCGTGTTTGACTTGGCTTCACACAGTGAAGTTAGAAGCTTCTGCAGAGAGTCTTGAAGGCTCTCTCACATGGGAACTAACCAAAGGGTTTGAGGAGTTTTTGAAATAAGCTTTTTCATGGGAAGGGAACTGCCCCCAACAGCAGCAGTGAATCTAGTTGAAAAATCTGAATACCACCTGCAACTCCAGCTCATGACACCAGCACCAATAAACGGATACTTTAGTGCTCTTTCAGCATTATGAGAGCTATATGTGTACTTTCCTTAGGAAATGATGCTTTCGCTAAAATCACTTTGAAGAGAAAGTGCTTATGCTGTCACTCCTGATTATTCAGAACCTTCACACAATTGGATTTAACACAGCCCCAAACAGACCTATCTATATTCGCTGAGTGTGGAACTATTTTCTCCTGACATCCAAAGGCCTGATGAAAATACCACTGCTTTGACTTTTCTACTTAAATTTATTATACAGTGTGATGCAGTATTCTCATCAAATATTTTCATGACGATTATAATGATAATAGATTTTTGAAAATCTTTCCAGGAAAGCTGCCTGATCCTTGAGATCACAGCAGCACGGAGCTAAAACTTCTCATTTCTGTCTCCAAGAGACAGCATGACTTCTGTAACAGCACAAACTTGGCCCCTCAGTTTCATTTAACTGCCAATTAGCGATCAGTACAAGTAATTGGGAGATATACCTACACAAGAGTTGCCAGATTTAGCAGAAACAATACAGGATCCCCAGTTACACTTAAGTTTCAGACACTAGCAATTTGTTGTTTATCTGAAATTCAAATGTAACTGAGCATCCTGTATTTTATCTGGCAACCCTAACCTATACAAATAAAATGTAAGTTATATCTATCACATGCAAGGAAAAACATACCAATAAATTAACAGATACACTTTTATGGAGAAAGGCTTAAAAAACACATCCCTCTCACAAAAGCAATATTTTTTAAAGTGCATTACAACTCCTAATTATGGAGACATAACTGTGCATAATATTTTCTTTTTTTCAATGTTTTTACTTAATAGCCATTATGAAGACAAAATTCTATTTCTCTATGAAAAGCAAATGAACTGAAACAATGTGAACACACAAAACGCAAATTTAATGAAACAATCAGAAAATTTATTGGAATTCCCTTCCTTCTCCCCTCCTGAAAAATAACTGTGCTCACATTAATGTCCTGTATCTCTCCTTTCTCTACAGAAGCTCCAGTTCTTCATATTAACTGACTCCACAGAAGTGAAAAAAAAAAAAAAAAGAAAATGTCCTTCTCATTTCACAGATGGGTCAACTAAGGACAATTTAATCATCACAATAAAAAGTTTTCTGTAGAAAGTTAATATCTGATGGGAAGTGCGTCCATGGTATGTATTTAAAGCTATCTAAGGAGGTAAAAGAACTGTACTCAAAAACTATAAGACGCTGATGAAAGAAATTAAAGATGACACAAAAACAGAAAGATACATGGTGTTCTTGGATTGGAAGAATTAATATTGTTAAAATGATCATACTACCCAAGGCAATCTACAGATTCAGTGTATTCCCTATCAATATACCAATGGCATTTTTCACAGAACTAGAACAAATAATTTTAAAATTTATATGGAAACACAAAAGACCCCAAATAGCCAAAACAATCTTGGGAAAGAACAATGGAACTGGAGGAACCACGCACCCTGACTTCAGAATATACTACAAAGCTACAGTAATCAAAACATTATGGTACTGGCACATAAACTGATACATAGATCAATGGAACAGAAGAGAGAGCCCAGAAATAAACCAATGCACTTATGGTCAATTCTTCTACGACAAAGGAGGCAAGAATATACAGTGGAGAAAAGATAGCCTCTTCAGTAAGTAATGCTGGGAAAACTGGATAGCTACATGTAAAGGAATGAAATTAGAACATTCTCTAACACCATACACTAGAGTAAACTCAAAATGGATTAAAGGCCTAAATGTAAGACTGGACACCATAAAACTTCTAGAGGAAAACATAAGCAGGACACTCTTTGACATAAATTGTAGCAATATTTGTTTTGGCTCTGTCTCCTAAAGCAAAGGAAATAAAAGCAAAAATAAACAAATGGGACCTAATTAAACTTAAAAGCTTTTGCACAGCAAAGGAAACCTTCGACAAAATGAAAAGACAACCTACTGAATGGTAAAAAACATTTGCAAATGATATGACTGATAAGGGGTTAATATCCAATATAAATAAACAGCTCATACAACTCAACATCAAAAAAGCAAACAACTCAATTAAAAAATGGGCAGAAGACCTGTATAGGCATTTCTCCAAAGAGGACATGTAAATGGCCAACAGGCACATGAAAAGATGCTCAACATCACTAATCATCAGGGAAATGCACATCAAAACCACAATGAGATATCACCTCACACTGGTCAGAACGGCTATCATCAAAAAGAACACAAATAACAATTGTTGGTGAGGATACAGAGAAAAGGGAGCCCTTGAACACTGTTGGTGGGAATGTAGATTGGTGCAGCCCCTGGGGAAAACACTATGGCGGTTTCTCAAAAAACTAAAAACAGAACTACCAAATGACCCAGAAATTCCACTCCTGGGAATATATCTGAATAAAAAACAAAAACACTAACTCAAAAAGATACATGCACCCCAATGTTCATAGCAGCATTATTTACAATTGCCAAGATAAGGAAGACACCTAAGTTTCCATCAACAGATGAATGGATAGGGATGTGGTACACACACACACACACACACACACACAATGGAATATTACTCAGCCATAAAAAAGAATGAAATTTTGCAGTTTGCAGCAACCTGGATGGACTTTGAGGGTATTATGCTCAGTGGAATAAGTCAGACAAAGAAAGACAAATACTGTATGATATCACTTACATGTGGATCTAAAAAATACAACAAAGCTAGTGAATATAACAAAAAAGGAACAGAATCACAGATATAGAGAACAAACTGGTGGCTACCAGTGGAGGCGAGGGGCGAGAGGGGGAGGGGATTAAGAGGTACAAACTATTACATGTAAATAAGCTACAAGGATACATTATACAACACGGGGAATATAGTCAATATTTTATAATAATTACAAATGGAGTATAGCCTTTAAAAATTGTCAATCACTATATTATACACCTGTAACTTACATAATATTATACACCAACTATACTTCAATAAAAACCAGAAAAACCCTGGTATAGATAGTGCATCTAATAAGAGTAAATATTTAAAAAAAAAAAAAAAAAAAGATTCACTCCCCAAAGCATATCAGTCAGCAGTCAGCTCTATAACTAATTTAAACCTACAGGGTCCTGTCCCCCAGCCTTAGCTAAGCCAGGAATCCCCACCAGGGCTTGGGTCAAAGAGATACTTGAGAAGTCTGTGTGCCCTGGTTTGCAACCAGCAGCCATTTCTTCATCCCCCTCCTCCTTAAATGGGGTGGCTGGGTCTTCCGTTTCTCTTTCTTCTCATTTCCCCAGAGGCTGCACCATTTCCCCAGAGGCTGCACGATTCCTGTCTTTCTCACCATAGAGCTCATCCTTTCTGAAATCACAGCAGTCTACGCTGTCCATCTTTGTCCTCAAGTGGAAG